GAAATAAAACTGTCATTTTTGGAAGATAATTATTGGTTAGAGAAGCCTAAAGAATCAACGAACTGTTACAACCAAAAAAAAAAAAAAAAAAAAAAGGACCAACAGCAAGACCGCTGCATATAAGACCAAACGATAAAAATCAAACACCTCCTAGGTCCACAATAACCAACTAGAAAATAAAAAAAAATACTTTAGCCACAAAAACTAAAGTATTCAGAAATTAGCCAAAAGAATTCATAAAAACTAGCCAAAAATTCTTAAGATCTCTATAGGGAGAACTGAATAAATAGAGACACGTTTCATGTATTTGGATGGGACAACCTAATCTTATAAAGATTTTAACTACTCCTCAATTAATCTATAAATGCAATGCATTCAAAATAAGAATTCTATTTCATAATCTTTTAAGGAAAAAGACACAAATAAGCTATTACAGAAGAATCTCCAAATGCTAACAAGCAAATGAAGGGATACTCAAATTTTAAATGAGGGAATAAAGAACCATAAAAAAACTAAGTCAGCTTTACTGAGTCAACTTTATAAAAGAAGATTAAAGAAGAGACTTGCTCTATCATATAAAAAAGATATATCAAAAATACAACAGTATTTTTTTAAAATGTGATACTGGGACAAGAATACAGACCAGTGGAACGTAAGAGAAATTTCAGACAGATCCATATATATACATGGCAAATTAATATATGATAAAGGTAGCATCACCGATCAGTGGAAAAATTTGGATGATTTAAAAAGCATTGTGGAGAGGGGCGCCTGGGTGGCTCAGTCAGTTAAGTGTCCAACTCTTGATTTCAGCTCAGATCATGATCTCAGGGTCTTGTAATCAAGCCTGTGGCAGGCTCCACACTCAGGGAATCTGCTTGAGATTCTCTCTCTCCCCCTGCCCCCACCCCTCTCTCTAAAATAAATAAATAAATCTTTTAAAAAATGTTTTAAAAAAAAGCAGCACTGTGGAGAAAACTGGTTCAGATGGAGAAAAGTAAAACTGGATCCCTATCAATACTATATAAAAGGTGGGGCCTAAAGGGCAAATATGATAGTAAAACTATAAAATTAACAGAAGAATCTGCAGAATATCTTTGTGGCCCAGGGGTGAGGAACAAGTATTTAATTCTCAGAATACCTCAGGGTCCACTGAACCCAATTTTAATGTTTGAGCTTCTTTTTCAAGTAGTTCTACCTATTTGTAAAGATTGGTATTTGTCACAAGGTGGGGGGGGGGCACCTGGGTGGTTCAGTCGGTTAGGTTCCGACTCTTGATTTCAGCTCAAGTCATGATCTCAGGGTCGTGAGATCAAGCCCCAAGTCAGGCTCATGCTTGGCGTGGAGGCTGCTTAAGATTCTCCTTCTCCACCCCCCCACCCCCCATTCATGCTCCCTCTCTAAAAGATTAGTATTTGGGGACTTTTATTCTTTCTTAGAGATCATCCAAAGAATAAAAATAAAATTTATTTTTAATGGAATAAAATGCATTCTATCTTATAATTAATCACCAGACATCCAACAGACCCTTTCACAAATTTAAATTACATTATGGGATCTTACTGATCTTATTTTTCCTATATTTTATTATTACATCATCCTAGGAATTACTTCATTACTCATCATCGTTCATCAATTATTCCCAACTATGCTAAAACAAACAAAAACCACTAAAAAAAAAATAGAAGAATGAGGATATGACAGGCAGAATAATGTCCTCCAGTGACACTCACATCCTAATCCCCAGAACCTGTGAATGTTATAGGACTGCACATGTAAGGGGGTAAGGACTTTGAACTGGGGGAATTATACCAAATTATCCAGATGGGCATGAGCCAATCTAATCGCAAGTACTTAAAAGTGATGAACCTTTCTAGATTGTGGTCAGAGGGAGATGTGACTTCCAAAGAACAGTAAGAGAGTTGCATCATTGCTGGCTTTGAAGATGGAGGAAAGAGACTAAAAGCCAAGAAATGCGGTCAGCCTCTAGAAGCTAGAAAAAGGCAAGGAAAAGGTGCCCCCCACTTCCCACCACTGGAGCCTCCAAGAAAGAAATCAAGTTCTGCACACACATTGATTTTAGCCCAATGAGACCAATGTCAGACTTCTGACCCTCAGAACTATAAGAAAATAAATGTCTTGTTTTAAGCAACTCTGCAGTGGTTTTCTTTGGTAGAAAGAGAAAAATAATGCAGATTTAATGACCTAAAAGAGTGATGCAATAGTGAAATAAGTGATTATCTCTCAAGTTATCTTCCTGTCTTGCCCAAAGTACTGCATCATCCTTCAAGAATGTATAAAAGACTAGAGCAGGGGCGCCTGGGTGGCTCAATCAGTTAAGTATGGACTCTTGACTTTGGATCAGGTCATGATCTCACTGTCATGAGATCAAACTCCATGTTGGGCTCCATGCTCAGCAAGGAGTCTGCTTGGGTTTCTCTCCCTCTGCCCCTCCTCCCACTCATGCGTGCACTACCTCTCAAATGAATAAATAAATCTTAAAAAAAAAAATACTAGAGACATCCTTGCAGACTGATATTAGATTGCACTGACTCCAGTGGAGAATTCAGAAATTTTCATTTTCCACCCAAGATGGTCAAGGGAAGAAAACGACAGCGGAAGACATTTTGTAATTATTAAACAAATCAGAAAATAAATACAAAGAGATAACAACACCTCTAGACTCTACTCTAAAACTGATGGCAATGACTATGTAAGTGAAATCTCAGAGTCACCAACTGATATTATCCTAGATGAATTTTCTCAAATTCAAGAATCAATGAATTGGATAACATATTTCTAAGGAAAAAAAGGAAACATGGTATTTTCATTAGTTAGTCATTCAACTGAAGGACTTCATCATATAATATTCTTCTACATGAATTTGGACCACTTGATGCTCAAAGGATGCATGACAATATCCTTTATCTTTTATGATGCTTGTGCACCAAGATTTACTTGATACAAAGAGGATTTTATGTTTAAATTATTATTAAAATGTCTAATAAAGTTGTTTTTCATTATACCTTTATTCCTACAGCTATAAATTAGTAGCAAAATAACTTAAAATATAAAAATAGCAAAAGGATGGGGCACCTGGGTGGCGCAGTTGGTTAAACATCCAACTCTTGGTTTTGGCTCAGGTCATGATCTCAGGGTGGTGAGATCAAGCTCCGTGCTCAGCACAGAGCCCGCTTGGGTTTCTCTCTCCCTGTGCCCCACCCACTGCTTGCTCTCTGGTGCGCTCTCTCTCTCTCTCATAAATAATTTTTTTTTTAAAGATTTTATTTATTTGACAGAGAGAGAGATAGCGAGAGCAGGAACACAAGCGGGGGAGTGGGAGAGGGAGAAGCAGACTTCCCACCGAGCAGGGAGCCCGATGCGGGGCTCGATCCCAGGATCCTGGGATCATGACCTGAGCCGACAGCAGCCGCTTAACCTACTGAGCCACCCAGGCGCCCCACATAAATAAATCTTCAAAAGAAAAAGGAAAAGGATCTATTTGACCCAGATGGTTCATAGTGACGGCTGTTTTTCTAAGTATACCAAGAGCTATCCAAAATTTCAGAGTTACAGACTATAAGTTAAAAAAAATTGGTGACTTTGATTACAACAAAATTAAAGAGTCCTCTACAATAATCCTATACGATAATGGATATCATGAACAAAGGTGATAGACATGACAAAATGGGAGAAGTTATTTGCACTGTATACAGCCAACATGGAATTGATATATAAATATACATGGAATATGGGAAAATCAGTTTGAAAAAGAAAGTAATCCTGATAGAAAAATAGGAAAAGCATTGTAACAATTTATAAGAGACTCCCAAAAAGCTAACAAGCACATGAAGAAATGCTCAAAATAATTGGTGGTACAAGAAAAAAAAAAAAAAAAAAAGAGGGATACTATTTTACACGTTAATGAGAAATCCAGATGATGCCAAGTGTTTCTGGGATGTAGGGATACATAAATGATCATGCATTCTGTTAAAAGTATGGGTTAGTCCTGTACAACTGTTCTGAATAGCAATCTTATACTATTCATTCAATTTAACTCTATATATACCCTATAACCCAGCAATTCTGCACCTAAGAATGTAACCTAAACAAATGCTCACAGAGGTCCATAAGAGAAAAAGTACATGAAATCCACTACAGTGTGAGGTAATGGGGAGCTGAAGACAACCTGAGGTCTATCACTGGAAAGCCTAAGAGATATGCAGCAGTTGTACAAATAGGAACATAAACAGATAGGAACAAGGGTGACAAAAGCAAGGAAGAGAAAAAATTATATAATGGGAGAAGAGCAGTTCAATCTACTCAATTAATTCTTACTCCTGAAACCGATTATGCTGTATTAGAACATCATGCCCCTGAAGTATCTTATGCTGTATTAAAAATCAGGTTTGTAAATGCTGAATTTTTCCCTATACATTACAAAAATTACAGTAAGTGGTAATTTGATATTAAACACACATGTAGGATTCTTTTACAAAGTATGTTCCGGATCATTTAATACAATGAAAGAATGTCAAATAAAGATTATAATTTTACTCACTTTTGCTCCAACACTGCAACTGCCAGTGCTTCCAGTGCTCCCACTTGCAACTCCTGTAAACCTAGCTTCCAATAATTCTTGCCTTCTTGGATCCAGACTATGAAGCTCATCCATTGCACCTATTAATAATAGAAAAGGAAAATAAAACACAAATATATATCTTCATATACACACAAACACAAAATACATAGATGTGGTTAGTTGAGATACCAATATAAACCTAATGAATGCATTCTATGAACAGATTAAGAGACGTTAAAATTTTTATCATGTCCTTCACTCATTTATCAAAACAACCAACAGTGAATTTCCAACACTTCCAACTGTAATCCACAGTAAGAAATATATTTTCCACCCAATTCAGTACAAAGACACATACACACATGTATTAAAAAATTCCACAAATACTTCTTACTGCATGCAGTGCACGCCAATATTTTCTAGTCTATTTTGTCCATCAGAAAAGAAAAACACTGGTTGTGAGCTATTTAATTGATTTCATGTGCCATTAATGGACCATGGGTCCACAGTTTGAAAAACACTACTCTCATAGTATAATCTTAGCTTATGCAGAATTCTGACGCTAAGTGACATTAGTAGTTATTTTGTTTATTTATACCTTATCTGACTATATTTTAAACTGGGAAAGATTTTTTTATGACTGTCACATCCCAAAGATTTTTGGTACATTTGATAGTTTTCAGTTTCTATCAGGTGAATGAAAAATATGCATATATCAAACAGATCATTGAGGTAACAGCTATCACTGAAGAATCACTCCAATCACTGGAGAATCACTCCAATCACTGGAGAATTAAAGGGGAAAAATTAGCATCCTCATGTAATTGCTACTATGCAGACTAAAGCACCACAAATTCTAGCTAAAGTTCAATTTTAAACTTCTTTTTTTCATGTCTGCCAACTCTCTACTGATAAAAAACCTTAGAACTGACATAAATGAGTGGTTCTCGAAAGGAATAAGGAGCAATCCCAAATCACATGTGGACACTTTCAAACTAAACTAACTAGACCCCTTCCACATACTCTGACACTCCTCTATCTTAAAGTTTAACAGTTATTCCTACAGATTTTATCTTTTAAAATTGCTTTCATTACCTTTCATTGTTATCTGGACAGAGGACTGAATGGATAATGGCCATCCTGCCATGTTTACTTCCATATATCTGTACCTGAATATATATTTTCTGCCCACTCCTCTTTCTTCCATCTCAAAGAGGTAACTCCCTTTAAAAAGCTGAAGCCTTCAATTTTTGCTTTTGATCCCATTCCTTCTTGACATCCAAGGGATCTTGCATTTGCATGTATAGACCTAAAACTATAGAACTCTTAGAAGAAAACATAGGGTAAAGCATCATGATCTTGGAGGATTTGGCAATGATTTCTTAGATATCAAACTGGGAAAAAAATGCAAGATCCCGTGCAGAATACATAAATAAATCCTACAATTCAACAAAAAAACCTCAAACAACCCAATTTAAAACGTGGGCGGGGGAGAAGGACCTGGGTGGCTCAGTCAGTTAAGCGTCTGCCTTTGGCTCAGGTCATGATCTCGGGGTCCTGGGATCGAGTCCCACATTGGGCTCCCTGCTCAGCAGGAAGCCTGCTTCTCCCTCTCCCCTCCCTCTGCTGCTCCCCCTGCTTGTGCTCTCTCGCTCTCTCAAATAAACAAACAAATAAATAAATAAATAAAATCTTAAAAAAAAATGGGAGGGGGTGGCACAGTCAGTTGAGTGTCCATCTGACTCTTGATTTCGGCTCAGGTCATCATCTCAGGGTCATAGGATTGAACCCCATACTGGGTTCTGTGCCCCGTGTTTGGCTCTGCACTCAGCACAGATCTGCTTGAGATTATCTCTCTCCCTCTCCCTCTGCCCCTCCACCTGCTATCTCTCTAAAATAAAACTAAACTTAAAAAATCTTTAAAAAATAGATGGGCAGAGGACATGAACAGACATTTCTCCAAAGATATGTAACTGGCCAATAATTAAATGAAAAGAGGTTCAATATCAATCATTAGGGAAATGCAAATCAAAACCCACAATGACATACCACTTCACACCCATTAGGATGGCTACTATAATAGAACCAAAAATAGTAAGTGTTCGTAAGGATGTGGAGAAATTTGAACCTTTGTGCATGGCTAGTGGGAACGTAAACTGGTGCAACCATTGGGGAAAACCATATGGCAGTTCCTTAAAAAATTAAACATAGAATTACATATGATCCAGAAAGTCCACTTCTGAGTATATACCCAACAGAAATGAAAGCAAGGACTAGAATAGATCTTTATACACCATGTTCATACCAGCATTATTCACAACAGCCAAAAGGTAGAAGCAACCTAAGTGTCCATCGATGAATGAATGGATTAACAAAATGTGGTCTATGCATAAAATGGAATATTACTCAACATTAAAAACAAAGGAAATTTTGACACAGGTTACAATATAGATGAACTTTGAAGACATTATGCTAAGTGTGAAATAAGCCAAACACAAAAGGACAAAAATTGTACAATTCCACTTATATGAGATTCCTAATAGTCAAATTCAGAGACAGAAAGTAGATGATGGCTGACAGAGACAGAGGGGCATGGTGGAATGAGAAGTTAGTGTTTAATGGGTACAGAGTTTCAATGGGGAAGATACAAAAGTTCTGGAGATGGATGGTGGTGATGATAGTACAATAATGTGAATATACTTAATGGCACTGAACTGTACACCTACAAATAGTTAAAATGGTAAATGTTGTATTATGTACACTTTACCACAACGCTTACAAACAACTTTTTAAAAATAATTAAATTGAACTTCATCAAAATTTTAACTTTGCTAGTTCAAAAGACATGGTTGTAAAAATGAAAAACAAGAGACAGAGAAAATATTTATAAAACATTTATGTGCTATATACTATTTCTACTCTTTGGCTTGGTAACTGGTTGATGGGATGGCCCACTGAAATTTAGCAGAGAAGATGAGGACCTAAGTCCCCACTTTGACCTGAACCAACTAATAATGTAGTATTTTGTTTAACCCTGTTTTTGTTTCTTAGATATACAGCTTCCTCTAGGACCTCAACCCTCCCCCATGAGGTCCTAGAGGAAGCTAAACGATAGAGGAAAAACAAACAATTGGTTTCTAACCAAAACTCCTACGAGTCCCAACCTCTAACACCTTCTAACAAGTTTTTACAACTTTTTAATAGCGATGTATGCAAGAACCCCTGGTATAATTCTTGGCAAATAACAGATGCTTAACAAATATTAGCATACTTGTCTATTTTTTTTAAAGATTTTATTTGTCTATTAGAGAGAGAGAGAGCACAAGCCGGGGAGGGGGGGGGAGAGTGGCAGGCAGAGGAAGAGGGAGAAGCAGGCTCCCCACTGAGCAGGGAACTCAACATGGGGCTCGATCCCAGGACCCTGGGATCATGAACTGAGCTGAAGGCAGACACTTAACTGACTGAGCCATCCCGGTGGCCCTAGCATACTTGTCTAAATAAAAATGGAACCTTGAATACTAGAGCCTGCCTCCCAAAATGCAGTCCATTGACCAGCAGCATCTGTTATTACCTCAGATGCTTGTAAGAAATGCAAAATCTTGGGTCCTACCCCTAGACCTAGCAAATCAGAATCTGCATTTTAATAAGATCTTCAGGCAATTACTACGTGCATTCATGTCTGAGAAGCACTGCTATAGAATCTGGGTCCTCAAACTTTTCCTGAAAAGGGCCCAACTGTATTTCAGTCTTTGCAGGCCAAGGACAAAAACATATAGATACTTACATAATGAGAGAGAAAAACTTCCTATAAACTTTCTGTTGACAAAATTCAAGATATAATAAGTATATTTTATAATATTATAAAATATAAGTCTGCTAATAAAAAAATGGAATTGGGGTAACACTTAATTTTAGTTTCCTATCATCAAAATCTTGCAAATATTCAACTGATTATGTTGATCAGCTTTTATGTATTTATCTTTGAAATGTCTTTTCTGACAGATAGGTACTGCTAAATACTGGTATTGACCCACAAATACATGATTTTAATGAGTATATTCATTACTTTGAAGGCAGCTATAGAAGTCTCCTAGATTCTTTTGATATTTGCTTTTCAATATGTCACTACACTGCAGAATAATCACTTCCAATTGGAAGTTAGGTAGAAGTTCCTCAAGTGCATAATTAAATGGATTTTGAGATATGGAAACTTTCTTTGCACTTGCATCAATGTCTGAAAATTGTTGCTGGAACTGTAGTTTGATGGTGGAAAATATATTCATGCAAATTCATATGGGAATGAAGATCTCACTTTGACAGAAGAGATGTGTAAAGCAGCTGGATGTTACTTGTGATTCAAACATCAGTTGTCACTGAAATGACTTAACTGCAGCTAAAGTTCACATGTAAGCACTATTTTACCTCATAATTTTATGTTAGATTCATTCAAAAATATTTCTAAATCTTCAGAAAAAGCTAATTTCCAAAGCCAATCAGTATTTGACAATAGTGGTTGAAGGCCATCCTGATTCATTCAGAAAAATTTCATTATCAGTCCTAAGCTCAAAAAACTGTAAAACAATTTTACTACTAAAGCCAGTCAAGATATCCAGCTTCTATGGCCAACAAAAATTCACGCAGCTGATGCTAATTAAAACCATGAGAGCAAATGAAGACCACCACTGACAATACTGATTCAGTAACACATGATAAATTCAAATATTTTCTGCAAAGTACCTACTGATGAATAACACAACAAATAACCATAGCTTTGAACACCTCACATTTTTATAAGCTTTGTAAAGTTATCCAACTAAGCCTTTTTCTGTTCCACACATATTTTTACCACCATCAGTTTTAACACATCTTATCAGATTCCACTTCAGATTGTACTTAGTGTTTTCTCAACTTTGAAGATATTCTTGTGTGTAGTTGTTCTCTACAGACTATTCACAGAGTTTAATTGTTCTGCCACTTCAAATCTGGCATTGACACCTTGAATAAACAACAACTGAATAGTATCAATAACATCTGTCAACTCAGCAAGAGCCAAGGAAAACCACTATAAATTACTTGCCTTGTTTTTTAATTGACTACT